GCCCGTCCTGGCAAGGGCCAGGGGGGGATACGACCGCCTTGGGGGAAAAAGGAGGAGGAGGCGAGGGGGTAAATCAACTCGAGGCGCTGGGAGGTCAACGGGAGCAGCTACAGGGAAGCTGGACGAAAACGACTGTGGATTTAGCACACGCGGAATTGACTGGGACAGGGAACACTGGCCGAGGCTGAATGGAACAAGGAGCAGAAGGGACATGGAGGCCAGGGCCAGAAGAACAGGAGGCCAATCACCTCCGCTCAAATGCGGCCTCCCGACCACTCCCAAGGTTCATCTTGCCCAATCTTCCGAGCCGCGTCTAGATGCTGCGACGAGACGCGCCAGAGGCGCCCGATGGACTTTCAAAACGACGACGACGACGACGACCGTCGATGCGTCGTCGCCGTCGCCGTCGCCGTCGCCGCCACCGCCGTCGCCGTCGTCGTGCCTGGGCTGTGGGAGGCGCTGCTGCACAAGGGCCACCACCGGTCGAGTACAGTCGGGCCGCTGAATTACAGGCAGGCACAAGACACAATAATACCCTTGATTTGGCAGGGTCGCTGCGTAAGGAGCTGCGCCCCCTTTTTGGCCCCAAAAGGCGCCCGGGTCCACGAGGAGTGCAGGAGGAGCAGCAGTGGAGGAACCCGAGGAACATCGAGCCCCTTCCGACTCTACGGTCGGACTTGATTGGACAGGACACGCGAGAGGACACAAGACCCTTCCGAAGGCCACATCGCCATAAGGAGTGTAATAAGGCACGTGTCGCGAGGCACAGGACACAAGGGTACCCTTGGGCTGGCAGGGTCGACCTACTAATCCGGGCCACCTGTCAGCTGCTCCTTATTGTCAGCGTTGAGGAGGTCGGGCTGGTCTGCACGACTCGTGGGGCCTGCTGCCTGCTGCGCAGCGGCAAGCCTGGGCTCAAGTCGGGCCTGTCCCCCTACAGGAGGAATGTTCGAAAAGAGGAAAACAAAATAGTCGGGCGACTATGTTTTGAGTATGTTGTGATCATTTTTGCACATGTTTTGACTCGAAAATCGGCCTGTAGGGGGACAGGCCCGACTTACGCCTAGGCGCGAGGAGGACGAGGAAAGGCCTCCTGTTCGCCACGTGCCGTGGGCGCCAGGCGCCAGGCACCAAGGAGCAGAGGAGGCGGCTGGCAGAGGGCCTCCACTCCAGACGAGCGCGATCTACTCTCCCCGTCGCTCGGACGTCCGTTCCCTTTTTTTCGGCTTCGTGCGTGTTTTTTTTGTTTCGCAGGATGATCCAGGAGGCTCCTTACTAATCCCCGCCGAGAAAAAGTGCACACGTCCGAACGATACCAAGTACTACTCGCAAAGTAACTACTCGCGAAGGGCCTGGATCCACCGCGGAAGATTTACGATCCATTACACCAAAGCAAACGTTCATGTTTATATATATATATATATATATATATGTATGTTTGTCCTTCGGACGTTTGCGAGTAGGCACTTTGCGAGTGGAACGCGCTGGGTGCAAGCACCACAGTGCGCAGCACAGTATGCACCGCCGCAGCCACGCGCACCACATCGCCTATGTACTGCGCAGCGCATGCGTGAACCATCGTGCAGCACTACAATGTTTGCATCCTCCACACTCTCCTTCGAGCGTGACTTTTTGTTGGTGCTTGCTGCCGCTGTGTTGCATGTACGTTGCACCGTAAAGGATGCTACAGTACTCTGCTTTGTACCGCCTCCAGAACCGAAGCGTAATACGAACATTGTCTCAAACCTGCACCGCGTCACCTGTTTCGGACGCGCGCTGCACGCGTGCACCACCGAGTTTGCGTGAACCACAGCGCCTGCGTGCACCACCGCATCGCCTGCGCACGCCGCAACATGCGGGTGTCTGGGCGCCCCTCGGCCCGAAGGAGAGGGCGGGCAACAATGGTGCCTGCAAGCACGCACTATGCGGGCGAACAACTGCGAGAACACGATCGCAATTCTGTCGGCACCCCAGCTGGCCATCGCTCGGACGTCCATTCTCTGTGTTTTTTTGTTGGTTTCGTGCGTGGTTTTTTCGCAGGATGATCCAGGATGCTCCTTGATAACCCCCGCCGAGAAAAAGTGCACACGTCCGAGCGATATCAGGCGCCCTGTCAGCCACGCTGCGAACCCAGAGCCTGAAGCCTCGATCCTCCGACAGGTACTCCAGATTTCGTAATAAAAGGGAGGGGGTCTGGACCCTCCAAGACGAGCCATTTCAGACCTCCCCCGTGGGAGAACCCTCCAAAACATCGTCCCCAGACCCCCCCAGGCCCTCCAAGACAGCCTGGAAGAGACCCCCCCCCCGAAATGAGACCCCCCTCCCTTTTATTACGAAATCTGGAGCAGTCGTCCTGGTTGGCGTTGGCTTCCTGTCGTCGTAGGTCCTTCTGGTTGTTCTCGGGGCTGTTTTCGGGGCTGTTCCGGAGGCCTCCTTCCTCTCTCATCCTCATCCTCGTCGCCATCGTCGTCGTGGTGGTCGTCGTGGTGGTCGTGGTCGT